TTCGGGCGGACTACTTAAATAGGCAATCAAAAGTTGTACGTGTGACTAGTTGTACTCTCGTGATACTGATAAAATATATAAAGCTGGTGCTAAAATTAACATTGGTCTACCACTTGTACTAATAAAGTGCCAAGGGCCTAAGTAGTCACCTTAATATTTAAAATAAATAAATAAATACAATTAGTCTTTATACATAATAATTAAAACAGGGAGGTGTGGCGACTTAGTGTAGTGGTTTAGTTATCACCCTCTCCAAGTAGCAGGTCTAAAGTTCGAATCCCACAGATGATGATATTTGAAAAATAGGCCAGTGTTCGGTTGACAGCTAATGCTTATTGATTGGATCTAATTTTTAACTTTGGTCACACCATCTAGTAATGGAAGCTTTGGTGCAATAAATCTGAGAAACCAGCATAACCGAAAACCTATTTGGAGGTAGCAGTGATCTTTGACAATATCACAGAAGGGCTGAATTTGAACCGGGGCCCGAAATCAGAGAACTGAGTGATTAGGTTCTTAAGTGGGGGACACACCAGCCGAACCGCTGGGCTGATGCATCTGAGGAAAAAGACATATGCTCTGAAAGTATGAACCAAGGAGAGAGCATTCTTCAGGCACCTAAAGCCTGGGCAGACCAACCTGTCTGGGTTGCCGGCTGGAAGTAAAGAAGAGACCGATAAAGAATCTGGGTAAGAAGACGGTCTGAATATGAGTACCGGGGTTGTTGTGAACTAAATAAGGGCAAGGAGTATGTAATAGACATCTAATTAGGAAGGTTGGTGCTTGAGAAATGTCCATAGAACGGCAGCACCCCAAAAGGTGGTATGAGATACGAATATAGAACGGCAGGTCAATATGTACTAATTAGGAAGCCATTGCAGAACATGCAAGTGAATACATATGTGGAACATGTACTGCTCTGTTAGGTTTACCTTGAGAATAGACTAGCTTAAGTTAGTAAGTCTTAAGGTAAGGTGTCAATTCCTATAGGTAGATGCAAAATCCACAACTATATAGTGAGTAATACCTACGGGTTAGAGTTATAATGGAGGTAGTTGAAACCAGATAGTTTAAATAGGTACCCCCCTAGTTGGAGTGCAGGTACGGCAGATAGTATAAAACCTTCGGGCAGACTACTTAAATTAGACACTCAAAAGGTGCACGTGTGGCTTGATATACTATTGTTGTAACTATATTATAAAACTCCATTTACATTCTAATAAAACATTCTCCAGACCAAAGAGGTTCCTTTAATAACAAAAAAATAATAATAATAATAATTAAAACAGGTAGCGAAGCTATCCATATTTGCAATCTCTAGTTATTATATAACTAATATATCGGTATAGTATATAAATATTATCATATTCAATAACTTTTTCTGACAATCACTTGGACCAAATTTTTTAATGAAAAGAAATACCTATTTTCTATACTGGAGAGCAGTGTTGGCACATAACCAGGTTATAACAGGTCATATCATTAAGTTCAATTAGTAAAGTCATATGACCAGGTTATATGATTCTACTAATTAAACTTAGTGATATGACCTAGTCATGTGCCAACACTGCTGGAGAGTAGTAACCTGTAGTGAGGTGACTTCAACAGGGCGGTTTTTATAAAGGTCAACCTTTTTCTACTATCGGGAACTCTTTTATATATTTGACATGCAAGTCAAAAGCGTCAGTATACAAGATAACTAGCAGAAGAAGGTACCCTCATATACGAAATTTTGGTGGTTAGGTGGAGATGATAAAGTCCAAGTCTACTGTCAACAAAGCTATCGGTTGTAAAACAACTAGGGAACAGTAAAGAACAGGTTTCTTTCTTTTAAGCTGCATTCCTTTTTCCTAGTCAAGTGGTACCTATTATCCTTTTTCCGCTTTTCTGTCTTTTTTTCAAAATTTTTTAACAAAAAGTGGGGGTTTGGCTTACCCCTCCAAAAGATCAGCATTGTTTATTTCCCAAATTCGGACAGACTAGTAAATTGCGACTACATGTTTGTTTACAGACAGATATGATGCTACTGTATAGGACTTAGTCCGGGAACTCCAATTATGGCAAAAGGTAGCTTTGATATGGGGCCTCAAACAACAGAGCCATCCGAAGTCAGCTGGAAGGTTGAAAAGTAAACTTTAATATTAAGATAGAGCTTTACCTTTATAAGAGATATACAAATATTGCATTTGTTATATAATTTTTACCAACCTTGCATGGGTTATAATAGTGCCTTTAGGGTCTTAGTTTTCTTTTTATGTTTTTTCTTTTTCAAAATTTGTGTTTATTTTTTCTTTTTGTTTGTTTTTCTTTTTTAGTCATTTTCATATTTGTTTTTTGATTTAAACTTTTCCCCTTTTTGTCTCGTGCCCTTTGAGAAGAAGAAAGAATTAGAAGAGAAAAGAGGTCCTGAGGTGGGAGCTAAGCCCTAGCTAAATTATATCTTTAAATGTGCCATGTCATATGTGGGGTATAGTGGCCAATATTAGTGCGATAACCAAGGTTGGGCATCTTTAAGAAACAGCCTGCTTTTAGTCTAATACCTTGTTAAATAGCTTGGTCTTGTATTAAGCATTATACATTTAATAAAATTTTAATACGTGGTTATTAAAGAAAAAAAAAAAAAAAAAAATACATTATCATATTATTATCATTATAGTTAAAATTCATAATTATTTAGATTTTTTAATATACTAAAAGTTGTAATAAAGACTAATATTCAATACAATCAATTCTTAAAATTATTTATCTAAAAATCAGTTTAATATTCTAAAATATTGCTATATTTAATTTTTGTCATTCTGAAATGGCACAAATATTTTAGATATTCTAAAATATTTTAGACAATCTAAAATATATTCGGCCTATTAAAATAATTTTTGTAGCCTAAATTATTTTTGACACTCTATATTATTTATGATATAGACAATTTAAAATAATTTAGCCATTTAAATTTATAGCAATAGAAAAATAATTTAGATACCCATGTATATTTGGAGTATCACCAAGTAAGGATAACAATTATGCCTTATCCTTGGGTAATATTTGAATATATCACTTACATATTAGCAAAGTAGGCATAGCCAAAAAAAGATTAATTTCATATTATTATATACTGTTATGTTATAAAGTGCAAACAAATAAATTTTATTTATGCAGTTATTTGAATTTCGCACTATTCATATTTAATATAGTATGATGATACAGAGCATCAAATCTATCTTCTATGCCTTTCTCATTATCATGGTCTAACTTGCATAAAGAGCATAATGCCTATTGGTAATTCCATAATAGTCAATATTTTCATTATTAAATTTATAAAATATGTCGGGATATTGCTCTATTGCTTTGTTACAGAAATTAGCATGGGTATAAACTGAATTATTTTGTTTTTCAGATAAGGTCTTCTTGAATTCTGGTAAATCCTCCTTGGATTTAGAGATAGGTAGTACTTTCGAATTAGAAAAATTAGTGATTAGTGATTTAGTTAGATTACTTACCTTAATTTTTGAAGATATATATTCTAATCGTAACAAATTTGTCATGGTTTTTAAGTTTACATGATCTATAATATTTTGAATTTGCGCATAGTTAATCCAGAAATAGTACTTGTACTATATATAATCTGTTTAATTTTAGCCATACCTATTTCTCCTTTCCAAACAGTTTAAGAATTTTCCGAGCTCTGAGTTTTTTTATATAAATTTGAATTTGTAATGCAAGGAAGAAAAGATTTTATTTTCTTATATAATTTTGTTCTTGCAGTTTTATTCTTAATATTTTTATCAGTTATAAGGCTTTTAACTCTATTTTCAAACTCAAGGAAATAATAATACCAACATAAAATTTCTTGACTCTTTATAACTGCTTTATTAAACAAATATAATAAATTTTGTACCAAACCTGGAACCAAGTTATCGAATTTTTGAATAAATTTCAATGCTAAAAGTATTCTGGGACAATTCTTGCATTAGATCTTGTTCTACAATTTGACTGATATCAACCTTATCATTTTTATTATCTCGCTCTAATTCAGATACTTCAAAAGATATATTGTCTGAATTTGTTATGGTTTTCATGTCATATGATTTTGGTTGGAACCATTTTTCCAGATTACCACATGGTTCTTTCTTTGCCTTAGTATCCAAAATCTTATTGCAAAGAGAATCAGCTAGCACTGAAGAAGCATTGTGTGAAACTTGGGCTTGAATCTTCTTTTTCTGGTTCCTTTCTCTTATCATATTACTAATACTTTCCTTATTTTTCTCATATAAGAAATCATTAATTTCTTTTTCTTTCAATAATTTAGGTTCTATATAGGTAGGTTGATATGCATCAGATGTATTTTCTACCTTTTCGGGATTATTATTATTGGAGAAATAGTACTTTGTGCCTGCTTAAGGTTTACAGAATTGGTATTATCAACTTAATTAGAGTGAGTATTAATAGGTGATAGAATAGATATTTGTAAAACTATTAATAATAATAATATCAGAGAAACTGGAGACTGTGAAGCATTGTTAATAGTTTAATTTTGTTTTATTATTTGTTTTAGCTTTGTATTTTCAACCCTAAGATTAGCGATTTCTTTTATGATTTGTTTTAATTTGATATTTTCTACCTCAAGTTTGGCAATCACTGTCTTAATAATTCAAGCTCTGATCAGGGAATAAAATTTGATGTGTGCACGTGCGCTTCGCACATAGAAATTTTTTTTGCATGCAAAAAAAATATAGTGCTGTGCGCAAAGCACATGCAACTTTTTTAATAATTATTTAAAATAATGTGTGCTGTATAGTTAGCTTTGATCTACTGTATTGAACTTTGCATACATTGAATCTAAAATTTGATGTGCAACATGCACCAAATTTTGACTTTGAATTTTATTTACTGGCTCTGATAACATGTTTGATAATAATTTTTTATATAAGTTAGATTTATATCATTATCAATACATTAAAATAAATTCCTGAAATATATATGCAAAAGTAAATGTAATTAACTATGCGAAATTAGTGCACCCAGAAAATGTGTGCCAAGTTGAGTTCAGATGATAGTTTGAATGATGGTCTGGAAAATGTCTTCAAATTTTTACATTTTTTTTCCTTTTACTAAGACTTTATTTTTCAATTATAACGATAATATAAACCAATATTTAATACACATATCTAATGTATAGAAATTAATACAAATTTTGACATTATAATAATTTATTTCTTTTAACTATTGGTTTGTTTTCTTCGATAATTTATGTACTCTTTTTACAATCATTCTTTATGCCTTTCATTTCAAATTGATCAATATTTTCTTTCTAAATATTCATTAACTGTATGAAATTTGGCAAAATAGATGACACTAACTTGTCTATTGATAGAGATTTGGATTTTCGTATTCTTTTTGAAATATTCAATGTTGACAAGAAGTTGGCTATTATTTGTAAACATTACTAATTATAAGTTAAAAAATTTTTCAATGGATATAATATGCTTCATTGCTACATAAGTATTAAATAAATTCTAAATTGGTATCAATTAAAATTTAAAATACCAACCTAATTTTAATATCACTTTTAGACAATCAAACATTGCTTATTTAACATTTGGTTATTGTAGCTTCAACTTATGATGAAAGTTTTTAGCAAAGTAATATAGGTAGATTTGATATATTCTATTTTTTTTGGTTTACTAAGTTCTAATTTGATGGTTTCTTGTATATAATTAATAAAATAAAGTCTACAATATAAAATACATACTTATAACAAATATTGCATCGCTTTTATTTTTTACAAGAAAAATTGATTACTAAATGACAGTAAATAACTTTATTTTATTAGCTAGATTGATTATTATAATTTAAATAATGATAAACTAATGACAATAAATAACTTTATTTTCTTAGCTAGACAATGTATGCATGTAAATACGTAATTTTTGTTTTTAGTTCTGAATATTATACCATTCCAATCTAGCTTTCCGGACGATCATCCGATCTCAACCCAGTACATATTTTTCAGATGTGAAATCAGCTACCAGGGTTAGCTTTATTAATAAAAATAAAAATTAAAATAAAAATACAAAATAACGAATAAATTCTTTTTTATTCTATCACAAAGCCAAAGAACAAAAATTTTATTCAGTCACTTTTTAGTTCTTTAAGCATTCAGCCATTAAATAATAATTGCTTTACATTTTTCATCAATAGATATTTTGCATATTCAATACAAATCCAGCAAGGACTTGTGACAGAACTTGGGCAGAATTCATGAGTATTTGCCAATCAACACTATTAGTATCAGGATTAAAGTTATAGATTTTCACTTCAGGCAGATTTACGTATTAATCAATTGCTATCCCTTCCTAAATAAAATCTATTAATAACAGAATGATCAATAACAGGTAGCCATCATTTGTTCACTTACTTCAACTCCACCATTAATCCATAGTAACATTTTTTTATGAAAATCCTGAAATAATTGACTCTGTGGGCATAATTCTACAATAAAATTTGATACAACTGGTAGAAATGCTATATGTCTATCAGCATTTGATAAAGCATTCTATCTGCAATAAAATAGAAATTAAAAACATATATGTTATCTTTTATTTAACGTTCAAACTTCAAACCTAGCACTCAGTACAACAGAAGTATCAGGTCCCAGAATGGTAGGTTTAGGATCATCAATAGTATTAGGTAAAGTATAGCATCTCTACAACCAATAGATAATTATTAGAGACAAACAAGAAAAGATAATGTTTGCATAGCATACTTGAGAACCACCAGCTTTTCCAACCAAGTTCCTATTGGCAAAGACCCAGTTATAAAGTTGCCCAATAATATCAAATTCTCTCTTTTATCTAAAATTCATTTTTTTACATATTATTTAGCATAAAAAAGCAACATTTTAATTATCAAGCAGTGATCTACCAGTTTCAGTATGAACTGGGCTTGGAGGCATTATTTCAAGTTGACCTTGGATAAGATTCATTTGATAGAGAGAGTGAGGGTTTGCTAATGCAGTTTTTTCGAAGTGTATGTAATCAAAATCGGGAATAATTAAATGTGGGATGTAGTAAGGCATTTGAAAAGTTCCAAATTTATTATAGGACTGTATAGTAGATTTTTCCATCTGAAAAAAAAAGATATAATATATAAGTGCAATTACACAGATTTTTCCCTATAAGCCATGAAAGTTTTGATATAAAAACCATTTGTTATAGGGCGAAATATATAAAATTACTTTACTTCCTAGTTTATCGAATAAATATACCGATGTTAATGTCTTTTGTTGATTTTTTCGTCGACTTGAAATTAATATTAAAAGATTCTGTTAGGCTAAAAAACTACTTTCTTAAAACATTATATAAACACCATTCATACTTAGAAGTTAGAAGTAAGAATACTTGATACCAAGACCAAAGAGGTCCAAGTACACTACAAAATATGAAAATAACTGAAGGTGCAAGAAGAAACGCAAGCAACAAAAAAAAAAGAATTTAGGAAAAAAATAAAATACGATATGTGAAATTTCCATAACTTTCTAATTTATACTGGCATATGCGTTCACAGTGGCACGTAATTATGTGAATGTGACCTCTAGGTCACAGGCACGCAACGATAATTAATTTGATAAAAAAATTTATCTTTATTTTATACAAATTTGCAAGTTATGTCACGGCTGGACGACTACCGAGGAATTATATCCAAAAAAAGAAAAGCGCAAAGATCATAGACTAATGTTTGGATCCGTTTAAAAAATCTCACCAGGTGGAAACCGGGTTAACTATACATTACCGGATGAAAATAAGGTGGCTCATATTTTATGTTCGCTGACTATCTACATCCTGAAACTTTCCGGTAACCCGGGTCAATCACTAGCTCAAATATTTTAAATCTTTCGGTTTCAAGATTTATCACATTCGTATTTTACACCATATCCATAATGTCTATGACATAGACATTATGGATATGGAGCAAAATACTAATGTGGTAAATCTTGGGCACGTGGGAAAACCGAAAAGATTTAGAAAATTTGAGCATATTTAAATAAATAAATGTATTTCATAATTATAAATTAGAAATAAATATGTATAAATATAAATCGCTCTGAGTTCATATATACATATAACGATAGTATAATTAATAATTGTCACGTATAAATTACATAACTATACTAATATGCAAGAACTAACAGTATTAACAAAATCACAGCAATTAATGACATAAGGTTTCGGCTTTTATTTCGGGATTGCAGCATAAATTATGATTTTGCGGCTTTAATTCCACCGCTATCGGCACAGCCGCAACTGGTATACAATAGTCGTACGCACGTATAAAAGCTTTTTTCTAAATTAGAGTTATCGGGATGCACGTACGTTAATTAAAAAAAATAATTACATTGTAAGCCTGGTTTAGACTATTAAAATAAAAAAAATATCATTGTAACTATTTACGGATTTGATTCTATTTTTTTTTTTTTTTTATTATTAAATCATCGTCATATTTTTTAGTTATCTTATACTTTAATGCTAAAGATGGCAAAAGTAAATTAAAAAAAAATATTACTTTTTTTAACTATATAATAAATTTTAATTAACTATATAATAAATTTTAATCTCATATTGCAGTATTATTTTTTAATCAAAGTTATCTTTATTTTCTTTATTTTCTTAATTTCTTTATTCATGTTAGACATGATCATCACATTGGACCAATAAAAACAATTATCAAAAATAAATTTAATAAAGGGATACCGATCATTTGCGATAACGATAAGGAAAGAAATATTTCTGTAAAATGGATTAATTTAGCATGATATAAATATTATAAATATTAAGAAATTTCAAACATATAGTCCATTCACGATAAAAAATAGAAAGCAAAAGGAAAAAAAGAAAAGAATTCAAAATATTTTATACGCTTAAATTCATTTTTATGACATGTTTTTAGTAATATAAAATAAACCCGAAATTTATAAAGTATATGCAATGCCAGATTAGAAACGATCTTTGATAATTTCCAATTCAGTGAATAAGTGTGCATATTTAACACATTTGATCATAATTTATTTACAAAAATTAAGATTAATTTTTTTTATGCATAAAAATGAAATATATTAAGTTGAAATTAACAATATCTTGAAGGAATATGGTAATCAAAGGATTGGTACTTGTCAAACGCTAATAAAATTAAATCAGTAAGTTAAAGAGGATTTTTCTCCATAAATGCATCTTGTATGTAAGATTTCTTTACGATATAGTCTAGTCGCAGCTTATAATAAATAGTCGCCAACAATCATTTCGTTTAGTCAATATCACATCACATAGGATTAAGTTTAGCATTTGATTAGTTATTGCGGGTATATACAGTATTTTAGTAAATTGTCACTTGACGTGACGTCGGCTAAATGAACTATCGGTGAATTAATTGTCAGTAAATAGAGGAACTCTCTGAGTGAACATTTTCGAAATCCTCCCGGGGGGGTACACTTAGGGAGGTTTTTCTGTAATAAGGACAATAACGATAATGATCATTAATTATCATAATGATAATGATCATAATATTTATGATAGGATAATACTCAATGATTGATTGCTAACACATAGCACATAGTTATTGATTACGTACTAACAACACCTATGGTCGATTAATGGTACACCCAAATTTAGATCCATATTTTACCGATAATGAAATGGAAATAACCAATTAGCATTTAGAGTTCAACCTAATCAAAAAAAGAAGAAAACTTGTTGGAGAAAAAAAAAGATCACAGTTTCAAGATAAATTAGTGATGGACGATAAATAACGAAATGAACATATAGACGGTTGTAAACTTGAGCCATATTCATGTATATATACAGTATATTGTATATAATATATTAATGACGTTACTGTTGCATAAATGTATTGAATCAAAAAGAAAAAAAAACCGCCAAAGAATATAGAGGTATGACAAATTAAGGTCGACAACATAACAAGTCATAAAAGATGCAGGAATATAAGGTTTCAGCATCGTATACACGATGTACGAACCGAATTTGAAATACGGTAAAACCTGGTGGACACAAAACAACAACAACAACAAACAATAAAAGACTTAAAATTAATGATTATTAAAAAATACACCGAAAATCACAGTTTGAAAATCATGATTTAAGGTTTTAAACATTGAAAAATATTAAGAGTTCTTGTTGATGGATGACAAAATAAATCGCGAAATCTAAAAGAAACATAAATAAACTCGCGTTCTAAGCTCGTGTAAGAATTAAAAAAAATTAAATGTTTCATGATAAACGATTATTCATTACATTAGTTATAGTGTTTCATGATTTACATTAAATAGAACAAATAAATCAAAAGAATTAAATAGTTAGCATAAATGATCTCAGATTAAACATGAAAAGATTTCATAAATGCGTATGAATAACGCATATAATGCACAATACACTTCTTAATACATATATATAGTTTAAACAATTGCTTACAAATATATAAGTTTCAAATTTGCAATATTATTGGTAAAAAATTACTCGTCAAATCTATTACTTCTTTGTTTAATGTTAATTAAAAAAAAAAAAAACAAACACATTAATGGTTGATATATTGATCGATATATATACAGTATATATACTGTGTAAGAGCTTTAAATTTATTTAAAATTTGAGAGCACGTGATATTATTTATAAAAATTAATTATCGTTATTTCAAAAAAAGTATACAATTAAGAAATTTAGAAAATGTGTGCACGGACTAGAGTGTCTGGACCTAAACGTTTTTTAATCAAGGATTTTTCATTGTCTCGGCAATGAAAATCCCTGAAACATGATATTTAGCACGGACCTATTGATTAATATTATGTGTTCAGACCCTGAAAATAACAAAAAAAAATAACAAAAAATAACAAAATAACTTTGATAATTACTAAATGTAACGGTAAATGGGAATAAACGTAAGTGTAAAAAATGTAAGTGGTAAGTGTAAATATAGGTGTAAATATAGGTGTAAAGTAAGTGTAAATGTAAGTGTAAATGTAAGTGTAATATAGGTGTAAATGTAAGTGTAATATAGGTGTAAGTGTAAATGTAAGTGTAAATGTAAATGTAAGTGTAAATGTAAATGTAAGTGTAAATGTATATAGGTGTAAAGTAAGTGTAAGTGTAAGTGTAAGTGAAAAAAACCTACCAATAAATGAGAAAACTTAAATGGGAAAAACCCAAGTTGAACTAAACGTAAATAGGAGTGAATACGCTTTTAACTATCATCGTTCATATTTTTGAATCATTTCATTACATGATTATATGGAATAGAAGATGGAATACAGCATTAAATCGAAGGTGAATTCACTGATTGAATCGATTGAATCGAATGTATATTCATTGAATCGAAGGTGTATTCATTGAATCGAAGTTGGATTACGTAAATTACTTATTTTATTCATGTGACATTTTTCTATTCATTAAATACATTAAAATTTATTAAAGGATTTCGGATCATTCTTAAGTGATAAAGTTACAAAAAATACTTCTGACATAATATGACATGTTGATCGAGTAACACATTCTTGTTTAGCAAATGATTTCATGCGGATTTCATAATCTAGTCATGTTCAAAACGAACGTGTTACTTAACTTTGTTTAAAGTTTAAAAATCCCTTTTTTTTAATACGTGTATAATAATCTTCCTACTACATGGTGATCTGTAAACATAATAAAAGCAAACAGTTGTTCTTACATACGTATGTGCGTAGAAAGTTTCATGTTTTCTGTAAAGTGTAATGTTTTTTTCTATTTTTTCCGAATTTAGGTATCCGAAATTAGGTATCCGTGCACAGCCCGGTAATTCGGAAATTTCATTAATTGTAATTTATGATCGGGTTAGTCTAATTTTTAAACAACTACCCGTTAACGTTAACATAAACTTTAACGTTAAGGAAATAATAAATGTACATAAAGTGTTTAATCGTATATTCCCATGATTTATCATTTTTTTATACTCTTGTGAGACTTTAAATTAGCTTATACCATACACAAAGAAAATACTATATTTATACAAGATACTATAATACATGTGTGTTTGGCAAAAATTCTATACTTTTTTGATGAAGAAGCAAAAATTAGCTATGAAAAAAAAAAGCTCACATACTGTATACTTGTATACATGTATACTTTTGTATACTTGTATACTTTATATACGTATCATATATGTATCATATATGGTATACCTGGTAATATATATATAATAATATCATATATATAATAATATCACGTGTATATATATCTCGTATTTTTACAAACCGCAATAATGGTGATTTTCAGATCATCTAACCCTCATGTGAGATATGTACGATATGAGATATGAGAGGATGGGGGTTCAACTTTTCATACCATTGAGAAATGAATCATTCTATTATTTGAATATCAGGAGAAAAATTTTAAGGGAAATCTTTCTCTATTCATTAACTCAAAAGTTTCTTCTTGTGACTAAAAAATTTACTTAACAATTTTAATTGCAATTTCATAAACATAGAAAAAAAATTTCACGAAAGTTTCAAGCCAGTTTCATGACAATGTGGTCATAAGTTCTTTGTTTAGTCGTGACTACCCATTCTTTTGCTAGTCGCTCTCTGGTCATTCTGGAAATTAAATATGTTAATCTTTTTAAATTTAACCATTCGTTATTGTTTTTATATAGTCAAAAATATACGCGCTTAACTGTACATAGAAACGATTTATATTTGATGCAACATGTTGATGAACATCTTAAATTCTATTCACGTAACCAATAACTCTTAAATCATATCATGCAAAGTACTTATCAAATATTCACATATTCAAGTATAATTTCACGTTTACGCGAGGGTGTTACATTAAAACTTATATATATATTATTATCTTACTTTATCTATACTGTATGTACTGTATATGTATATAATCTAAGATTTCAAACTCAAAATTTAGTGTGATTTTTATATTTAAGTGTGCAAAAATCGCACTTTCAATCAATTTTTTTTTTAAAAAAACCTCCAATTTTTATTTGGATCAAGGATTTTTTTTTTTTTAAATTTTATTTTTTTTTTTTATACATTTCATATTTGCGCATATAGACAATAAAAACTTTTGTTTTCATAATAATCGTTATCCTTTATTTTTATTACCCTATATTACTTTTTTTTATTTTTGTTTTTTTTTTTATCATCTTTTTTATTACTATATCATAAATAGATAATAAATAGTATGGGTAATTGTCATTCAAATAAAAAGGCGTCTAACTTATATAGAGATGATGATGATTCAAATTTACCTTCTGGAACTATTACTCCTCGATTCTTTAATATGAGTCGATCTATTCAAAGTATTAACGAAACTTCAAAAAATTCTTTTGATACTGATATTTCGGAAGAGAAAAGACTTCAATCGTTACATGATTATATGTCAAATTTATGGCAATCTAAATTCTTTTCTCCAATACACCAAAAATTGGTTAGCGGTGCCGTTAAAGTTCTTGATGTTGGGTTGGCATTTCGTTTTTTCCTAAGCTTATCATATATATGTGTGTGTTACTTTCTTCTTATCATTTATTCTTTTATGTTTGATCCTTGTCAATAGTTGTGGAACTGGCGCTTGGATCATCGACATGGTAAGTTACATTATTTTTTCTTTAATATGTAAATACTGTCTGTAATACTGTATTTTCTCTGATTACTCGTTCTTTTTTTTTTACTAAATAGGCGAACAAATATCCTCACACAAAATTCATAGGTCTAGACGTGTCTCCAACATTTTCCAATTCACCCCTCCCTTACAATGTTGAATTTATACAAGCTGACCTACTTAAGGGACTTCCATTCGATGATAATACGTTCGACTTTGTATATATGAGTAACTTGGTTAGATATTTATCGACAAAACAGTGGGAGGATATTGTAATCAAAGAATTAGTCAGAGTTTCAAAACCCTACGCATTCATAGAAGTAATGGAAGGTGATTTAACTTTACATAACAAAGGCCCTGTCACTACTAAATTACATGAAGCTTGTGAGTTTTTTTAATTTAATATTGATAATATAGATATTATTGATATTATTGATATTTACATTATATATATATATATATTTTTAGTTCTCGCTTCTATGCATGCTAAAGGAATTAGCCCATTGATCGAAACTATCATCACTAGAATTTTTCAAACAAATCCATACTTGGCAAATTTTAACGTAGAAACAAAAGTGGGCTACCTGAATGCGTGGGATGGTTTACAGGTACGCTTACAATTAAAGTTTTTTTTTCTAAAAATTTTTATTTATTTCGTAATATTAATAGTTATTGTCTCTTTTATCTTTATTTATTATTTATAATTTTTTTTTTTTTTTAGAACTTAGAAAATGGGTTAAAGGTATTTAAAATGTCAAAAAAATCAAATCTAGAATTCATGTCTTCTACGCCATCAGAATACGATGCTATGCTTGAAAATTATGTAAAAGAAATAGAAGAATATAATACGTATTGTAAATTTTATCGATTTTATGCTCAAAAAATTGAATTACCACCATCTCCAGTTTCACTTAAATCATCAAACTATATAAATTATTCTTCTTCTTCAACTTATAAAAGTTTAAATCAAAATTCTCAATTCTTACTAAGAAGCAATTCAAATTCAACTACGGTCAATTCTTTAAATAATTTAGGCAACTTTAAAAATAATTCCTCTAATAATTTAAGTAGTTTTAAAGATAATTCCTTAAAAAAAATTCCTTCTCATCGAAATTTAACATGAAAAAAAAAATTTTGTTTTTTTTTTTGCTATTTTTGGTTGCGTTGTAAATGTACTACCATAACATTCTCTCACATTCTCTCACATTTTGTCACGTCAATATTTTTTTGTAAAATCTATATATAATCTTAAATATTGTATTTATGTTACTACATAGACTTGTTTTGGGTGATTCTTCAATTTAAATGGCAATGATATTTAAATATATATATAGTATATAGTAAATGAAAATGGATTTAAAAGATTTCTCCTATGTAATTCTTATATAAATATAATAAAATATATATACAAAATATATATACTGTATATACATACACAATATATATACTGTATATACATACACAATATATCAATATATAGTATATAAAATTCTAAATTATAATATGTTGTAACCCTACATACATTTATTCATATATTTAAACTATATATGACGTAAAATTTGTTTGTACCTCCTGCCAATTTTCTTCAGACTACTAGCATAAAAAAAAAATCCTTTCAAAAAAAAATATATCGATATGTCTGATTTTTCTAAATTACGCAAATCGCCTATATCACACCGTGATACTTGTGATCGGCTATAATTTTATCATCCTGCAATAAGTTAATCATTATCTCACACATTCACTTGAATGACTCAAATAGGCCAAGAATCTTATACCATATCTTTTTATGTAAAACTAACAGAAGTGAATGAACGAATTTATGCATGAATTAATATCGAATTATCCAATAATTTAATCAAATTGTTGATCTACTGTATATATTTAAATTAAAAAAAAAATTCATTTTTTCACTAATCCCAAAATTTTTCTTAAAAAACAACTCACTCAACTAAAATGCCCGATGGTAACATTCGTAATAAATCAAAAATGGTACTTTTGTAACTAAAACGCACCAAAGAAATTATTTAATACAAAAATAAAATTTTTCAATATTTTTTTTTTTATAAAACCAATCAATCATTATATGAATATCGTAGTCAAAACTAGGTTTCATCTGGATTAGTAATACATTACGAGGAATTTTTATTGGTTTATTTCTTTTGAATTGTTGTGCTAAAAATCCTATTATATTTTTTTCCTTGCATCGTTTTTAAAAGTTTCTGATTAAAAAAATTTCTTTTCCTTCTATTCTTCTTGGTACGGTACATTGATTGTCTCTTTAATATTATAATTATTCTTCCTATTATATACGTCTTTTTTACCGTATATACAATTCAAATACAAATTATTATTATCAATTTACTATAATAAACTTTTTAGCTATACGTACGTATTACAGGTAGCATCGGTCTATTTTGGAACCGTGGTAAAGAACTCTATTTTTATACAATGTGATACCAAAATTTTTGTTTTTGATGCATTTATATAACGTTGTTTGTCACAATTTGCATGTTTGCGTAATATTATGTGATTTGTAATTATTTGCTATAAATTTGATTTTGTATAATTATTATTTACTGTATATATGTTGTGCCTCAGACTAACGCTTGCCTCGGATCACAGCCGACGCACCTCAGGTGTAGATTGTTAGATGAGGTGCGTAACTTATCGATCAGTCATTAAAAAAAATATGCATAGAATAAAATGTATTATTGAAGTTGAACGTACCGAGAAGACTTAAACAGGAAGAGTATGCAG